CTAGAGAAGTCGGTTAACAATGAACAAGGAAGAAGCATTGTTCCAGTGGGAGGAAACAAGATGATTTGGAAAAGTTCTTGGAACAGTTAAGAAGAATTGAAAGCATAAAAAATTTGGCACTGTTACGATTTCAGCTTCTATTAGTAGAACAATTTAAAATACATAAAAATACTTCGTAGCATRAGGACAGATATCTTTCCAAATCTGTTGCAAGTTCAAAAGAGGGATTGGATGAATACCTAAAGAGATTGGAAGATATTCTCTAGTAACCTTTGTCTTACATTTGTGGATACCAGAGGAAGAGTAGGGAAGTGGATCACACAGAGGTCAGGCTTGCATTTCATCTCCACCCAGCACCTCTTCCTGGCACTGGAGACACACAGAAAACTTGGCTTAGGGGAACACTGATCCGCTTCTGTGTTTTCTTGTGTTTTGAAATGCAGAACTCAAAGGAACAGCTACATTCCATTAATGGAGAGGAAGAACCAGTCAGGTCCTCATCTTTTCTCCAGAAGGCTTGGGCAGTACCGGAACAATACTGGCTTTTTCCTTAATCCTAAATGCATGCCTGAATTCCTCCCGTGGAAGCTGGCAGATGCATGGTTCAGATRAATGTTTGATGCTATCTGATGTCGGGTCCTGCAGGTGGTGTCTGTCAGAGGGTCACTGTGCATTACTTTCGGATCTGTGACTACAAGATCAGAAAGCTAGAGCTTTCTTCAGTGAAGGTCTGTCTGGAGTTTACAGTTAAGAGTCAAAAGGTTTAGAAAACAAGGGGCTTTGTTCAAAGCTCAGGTTCAAAAGAACCTGTGTCCAGCACAGAATTAATATAGTTCATCCAGTTGTCACTGTTCTTGATCATTCTCAGAGTGCCATGCAAGAAAAAAAAAAAAAAAAAGCAATCCATTCTAAGGAGACCCCTCTCAGGTTTRTCATGTGCGTGACCACCTTCATCAAGGCTCTAGACATATTCCATTGGTCTACTCTAAAATAAGTGACTACACAAACCTAGGAACAAGCATGCTTCCTTTCTAATAAAAAGACATGCACTGATGGAAGAGAATTTTTAATTAATGCTGACCTGTYTAGCAACACTGGTGCCCTATGGCTCTCCAGGTGTCATCAAGAACAGTGCTTGAACTTTGAGGGAACCTTTTATTTGCATAAAGAAACTTCTGCAATGGTAGTGGCTGCATGAAATCTTTGCCACAGCTTGCATACAGCATGGGCACACAGCAGACCTCTTTGTGACAGAAATCTCACAAGAGCTGTGCTACTGTCAGTTGTTTTAGCACATGTGGGAGCACTATCACTGTCTCCTCTGTAGCACTGAGCATCATTTGCCTGGAGATTGTACTGAAGTGTTCCCACTTCAGGATTGAGTTCAGGAAAAGTGAGAAACTGCAGCATCAGCCCTGTCTGGTGAGAAGAAACAGGACTTAAACAGTGCCAGTCAAGCCAGGCATGCTGCTTCACATTCCAGGCTTTCCATSTAAAAGGATTTGTATTTTCAGTCCTGGGTAGAAGAAACTTTGAGATGATTGGCAAGAACTGACTCTCTTCTGTTGGGACAGACAACAGAMGACAGCAAAGGAGATTCTGACTATGTATAAGGAAGAAAAAAAAATACCCAATAAAGAAAGTTTTAAAAATACCCAGTTCAACACTGCTAYAGATGCCCAAAAAAGCTGAGGAAACTCCATCTTTGCTGACATTCAAAACTCACCTTGACTTCCCAAAGGTCTCTTCTCCCTGCTTGTTCAGCTAAGAAACCAGGATTTGTGAAATTACTGGTGGTGATTGTATTCATCTCYGTAACTGGCATCTCAAACATAAATTTTGGTTATCCAGGTCTCACAGTGATGGTGCCAAAGTAAGCAGTCATGATAGCTTTGGTGAATCATGTAAGGAGATAACCCAGAAAATTCAGTGTCCCATCTCCTGGAGCTTGGTATTACAGCAARACTAATATGTGACTGGTCTTTGCTGAGTGCTTGGGATCTTCACAGTTTTATAGGGCTGAATCATTAAAAGATGTTTGGACCCTCGGAARCTTTATGATTTTCAGGACTTCCATGGAGATGGAAATCATTCCACTAGCTAAGGAAATAGATGCCTCAGAATGGATTAAATCCTTTATGGAAAGGGTAGCATAAGAGGATKGACAGCTGGTAGATGAGTGGCAAGTTCATGTGCTTGGAGGAGAGAGAGGATGAGAAGGGGTATTTGAGGAAGTTTATCAAAGTATCCTGTTTTGCAGTTGGATTTTGAGGAGAATGGGGAACAGTGGATTCCACAGCAAGGAGAAGTAATCTTGCTGAAAGCGTTTTTGGAAGAAGTTAGTAGCTGAGAAGGCCATGGAAAGGTGCTTGTGTGGACAGGAGAAGAGGGTGGTTTAAAAGTTGGGATGGTTTGAGGTTTCTGTTTACGTAGTTTGGTGTAGGGCAGAAGTAGTAGGAGAACTGAAGAATGAAAGATGAGCGTCTTTGGGTGTAGCCAGATTCTGTACACATCAAGTGCTGGCGGGAAAGGCAGGGCAGTGGTTAGYAATTTAGGGGCTTGGTACTCTTTAATTCACAGAGGCGAGTGCTTCCCTCCTACTCTCCCTTAAATACTTCCATAATGTTCTCTCTATCCTTCACTGTGGAGTAAGCATTTTCCATTGAGGTGTGGAAGAGGCAGAATTAAAAAAAAATACATTAAGAAAAAAAAAGGGAAAGCAAATTTGCCTTTTTTAGCTACTAAATCACAACCAGCTTTGTGATACAGCCACAGTTTATTTCAGGGGAAAGTAATTGCCAGTCTGATCCAGAAAAAGGCTGCATGATTCCTCATAAGGAGCAGTGTAACTTTGGAGGGATACAGGGTCAACCAGGATAAGGCAAACAGATGTTATAAGAGAGATGGGCAAGTCAGAAGGGCAGTAGAACAATTGGTTTCCTTGGAGCCAGAGATTGTTTTGTGTCTGGTTGTGTGTATGAGGTTTTTTTTTTAGTTATAACTCTTTTGTGGTAATTTCAATGCTTTGGCCTGAGATCCAGCAGCCAAAGCATGTTTGGMTTCTGTTTTCTGCTCTGTCACTCATAAGTTATGTGACGTGAGAAAATCTGAATTGTGAGCTGTTTTCAAACCTCCTGCAAATGAATGAAGTCACACTGCCTGAAACTAAAGTTTCCTTCAGTTTATTTGACCTCTGTTTCTGCATTTATTTGCCTTTAATATGAATGTTTAAAAGTTCCCATATCTTAGGATTTTCCTGACCTAATAAATAAACTTTTAGATACCATAATATTATAGATTGACTGAGTAAACTTTATGAGTGAGTATTTATGTCTCTGTGTAGAGTTGTCTTGCACGCTTGATTTTGGTTTACCCAGTCTTAGGTTTGGTGGCTCAGGCAGCATTCTTCAGACCYGTTCTAGGAGAACACTGCTGTGTGCTTGGATAGGTAGTTCTTCCTGYAAAGAAGGACTTTCTGATAATTCACCAAGAATTTTTCTCCTTTTTACAGTTGCATCCAGTGGTGTTTTTATTCTGTGATGTGTTGTATACATGCTTCATAAACTATTAAGCAGTGCCTGCATTATATCCATCCTCACCTTTAATCTTCATTTTTCCTCAGTAATACTTAACGGATTTTATTTTTCTCTTTCCTCGAAAGTCATGAATCAAAGTTTTTGCCTCTTTAGTGCTSCAATCCCTTTAGTTCCCTTATATTTTAGGGATACCCAAAATGCCTTTTGTTCATCTGTCTTGGGTGCTCTAGGTTCTCACTGGAGGCAGCAGAAGAGAGAACTGTTCCATCCTGTCCAGTATTTCTCCCCCTCTCCAGTAAAGCAAATCTAATTGCACTCCACTGCCTCTTCACRTACTCCCCAGGCTGCTTTTTTCTCTGCAATGCCCAACTTGCTCAAATCCCCTCTTGCAAGGTTTTCAGATAATTGCACTGAGGCTGCCCCTTTTAATTACAAGTCTTCCCTCCCCTCTTTCAGCCAAGTTATTGAGCCATTTCTGTATATTGCCTGAGACATTTTTCTTTCCCCTTAGCTACGCTTCACTGTCTCACTGAAGACGTTGGAGTGTTTTCAGTGCTCTGCTCAAAGAGCACCTGAAGAAACAAAACATTCTGGCTTTTTGCATGCAACCTACATATTAYTGTGATATTTCTCTGGTGGGCTGAGAATTGGACAGATGGAGCTAGAATTACCTTGCTTAGCAAAATTGTTATGCTSTATTGATCTAATGCAATGCTGGATTAGGCTGCATGCTGCTCCCTTACTGTAAGATAAGCCTTTATGTCAGGTTCTTAATGGTGGTGGAGGAGTTTTGTTTGGATTTTTTCCCACTTAAGATAATAAACTTGGACTTGTGTGCTTTTTCTGGCTGTAATGCAGACTCCCTATCTGACCTTAAATATCACAACGTTTGCTGCCTCACGTACAACACATCAATGGGAAAAATACTGTCCGACTTAGTAGTGTTGTGCAGTCGTATGCTTAAAGGGACAAATGCCTGCATCTGAAACGCTGTTACCAGTGTGTCAGCTGTGCAGATTTGTGTTGGCAAAAAACCCTCCTGTCATGGCTACTGCCCTGCAGAGCCCTGAAAAGGCAAAGTGTAAATTACAAGAGACAGAATTTGAAAAGCTTGCAGGKGAAATGGAATGGACACCTTCCAAGAGATGCTGCCAAAGGTGCAAAAAGGATCAGGACTCAAGAAATAGCACAGCCTATACTGTGTGCTATACAGRTTAACATTGGTTTGGGAACCACACTGTCACTGATGCCATGAAAGTCCCAAAATCTGTGTGTTCTGGCAGTGCACAAAACACGTGTGACTGAAGTCTTGAGGGGTGGGTGTATGGTAAATACTGGGTCTGTGCTACTCCTTTTCACCTGTGTCTTGGAAGTAGTAAATGGTGGGATGGGCTTGTAAAAACTGTCAGTTTTGTGTTAGTGTGACCTGATTTCTGTTTCTACCTTCTGTTTTTTCTTAAACAGTATTTCTCTGTGAACGCCTCTGTGCTTTAATTTGGGAAGATATTAAACACTCCAGGAAATCTCTGACCATTTCAAGGGAGTGGTGTGTGTTTGTTGAAGATGGTGATATTTACAGAGAATCTTCATGGATTCTAATGCTGGCATCAGTGCAAGAAGAGTGTCGGGAATGGGTTGGCTCTGGATGGTCTTCTTCTTTCATCTAGTCACCTCACTGGAAGGTAAGAGCAGATCTTTTGTAACAACAAGGTTTTCTGTAGAGGTTAAAAAAAAAAGAAAAGTGTGCTCTCCAGGATGCTTATATCCTGGTCCAAATGAGCACTGAACACATGCCTTTCTGTTTGATGGCTGATCACTATTTCTCGGAATTAAAAAAATTATTAATATTGTTTCTGATGGGAGATGCAAACCTTCTTATGAAAGACCATTAGTGAACATTACTACTAACTATCTGAGAAGTGACTGCCTCTAAGAATATTTTTTTTCCTGAAGGAATAAGCTCCTTGTTTATATTTTGCCTGTATTTGATTCTTGTGTTCCTGTCCTTGCACCATGTTTGCTTTTGTCTCTGGACATTTATAGTGTTCTAGAAGACAGCACCCAGTGGGCTGAAATCAAGAGTCTTTGTCTCACATCAGAAAAACTTGCCTCAAACAATAGATATGGAGAGAATGTTTTGCATTAACAAGAAGAGGCAGTTCACATTCAGCTAGCAGAGAGAGGAGGGAGAGAGCAGTGAAGGCAGGCTAGGGGAAAGGTAGGCAGGGGAAAATAGGTGCCAAGAAAATGGTAGAAGAAAGAATAGATGATAGAAGGGAGGGCGATGAGAGCAGGAGATAAGATGAGAGCAATGGAAGAGAGTCAGAGAAGGGCAGAGGTACCGTAAACAGTYCCCTTGTTTGTTCCAAGAATATCCTTGCAGCTACATGTGCTCAATGAACTGTACTGCTTTGTGATGAATGTTCATCCCTTGCATTTCTGAAAGCCTCTGAAAGAGGAGAGGARGCAGAGATGGAATCAAAGGAAAGCAAGGAAAGACCTAGAGGAGAGGAACGGAGAACAGTGTGAGATCTAACAAAAAGAGGAAAGCTTGTTAAAGCATCCAGTGCCTTAAGAGGACAGGAACGCAGTGTGTGTGGGAAGTTCACAGACTAAATAAATTATATAAGATTATAATACAAATTCTTAAATCTCTGAAATTCTGTGAGTAAYTGATTTTTAAATTGTATTAAAAATTACTATGTAATTCCTTGTGTCACTGGTAGAGAAACTGAGATAGAAAAGGGGGRAGGAATGTCTATTCACTCTGCAAATATGAAGTAACTGAGCAATGCCTGTACGAATGAAGATTTTTTTTAATTCAGAGTGCACTCCTATAAGTTGGTAAGAGATAAAAGAGTTTAGAAAGCACTGTGTGAAAGAGCTTCACAGATCACATGATTAAACTGCCTGGATTAAAATAGGAGAGTAGAATTCTGCCTATGGAGATGAAAGAGTAAAGGTGCCCATGAGCTGAGCTTTAACTCTCAATTCAGAGTCAGGGGAGTCAGCATCTTCATTGTGACTGTACTGCATGGTCCTAAGCTTGCACTCCAAAGCTGATTTGCATCTCAGAGGTAAGTATTTTTGTTGTGGTCAAAAGTCAAATTAAAATTATATGGTAAGGGAGGAAAGTCTGATGATAACTATGTAGAAGGCTTTGCTTTAGTGCAGAGTTGTCCATTAGGAAGAAAAAAGGCCCATGGCTTGTTTGTTGACTCATTATTATATATGGCAGAAACTTGAAATTCAGGTTTCAGATTTAAGTTGAAAAATTCAGGGAATATCCAGTGTGGCCCTTAGTTTTTGTAGAGTTTCGTAGAAGTTATAGGTGGTGTCTAAAATACATCTTGCCCATAACTGAAGAGGATTGATTTAGTGGGAARAATCAATCAAGATAGATTTTCTTCCTAGTGTTTCTCAGGCATTTGAGTTAAAGTCTGACTGTAAATCACATTTTGTCTCAACCTAAATGTTGTTCAAACGTTGTTTGAAATTTTCTAAACCGTAGCGTTAATCATTAAGAAAAGAGGAAGAAGCTGTAGAGAGGGGAAGAGAAGTCAAAATAGTCAAACCATCTTTATATGCATTATGAAGAGGTCAAGAACTTCTTAGGCAGAATGCCTCTYAGATATGAAGAAGGCTGCATGCTTTTAATGGGACTTCAAACTCCTTTGTGACTCAGAAGTAAAGAAGTTCTTGTAAGCAATTGAAAATGTTTCTGTTAGTGTTGGGTTTAATGCATGAAAAGAAATCATTAGGATTAATTTATTTGATACACTACTAGTATTTGGACACACTGATTTCACTAGGAATGAGCATGTCTGTGCAAAGTCTTCCAGACACGATATTTACATTAAAAAAAAAACCTGAATGGAAACTTGACTGCTTTTAAACAGAAGACATTTGTGTACTTGTTATTTTAGCTTGATAAAAGGAAACACAATTGTGCAAAAGTTTTCATGAAGATTATACTTACCAGTGTTTATGGTGAGTGCAAGAGTTTTTAAGGATTTGGTTTTGAGAGCATTGTTTTTGAGCTACATTCTGGGTGAAGTAATGGATTTCTCCTTTTTTTCAAAGCCATGTAAAGAAATGCATTAATTTAATTTCTTTTAAAATCTATATATGTATATAATTACAGTTTATCACTGAATATTTAGCATTTTAGGTTAACCTTTCTGATTGTAAAAGTTAGTGAAGCATAGAATTTAAGAATGCTTGATGGGCTGCGGTCAAGACAGGTGAGAGCAAGTGATAACTTGTTAATGAAATAGCTCTTACTAGGGCACTGAGATCAATTTTCTGTGGAATATTGGTTTTGCTTTGATGGAGTTATAAATGCCTGCTGCTGTAAACACAGGCAGACTTCATTTTGCAGAACACAGTAAACATGTTCCAAAGGAATTATGTGTTCTGCGTGTAAGTGACTGCATTTATTTTACAACAAGCTCTCAAGCCTGCAGAATGGCTGGACAACCTCTCTAAGTAGCTTCCATAAATTCAAGATACAGAGAGAATAATTCTTCTGCTTTGTTAAAACCTCTTTGCATTAGAAGTATCTCCTTGTCAAAAGGAAATATGGAAGAAAAAGGTAGTGAGGTCAGACATTCTTATTTCATTTTTGTCCTGTTTTTTTTTCTACTATCTGGTTGTAATCTTGGGCTGTTGAAAATAATGTATTGATTGTTCAGACTAGCTTGCCTTTGAAGTGGAGGAAAACACACTTTCCTCAGATGGAATCTTCAGAGTAAAAACTGCTMTTCTGTCTTTTGGTTTATTCTCTGCAGTTTAGTATATACAAAGAAAGGTTTACATTAGTGTTATTTTACCTCAGGGGGGAAAAAAGTGACATTTTTGGTTTGATTGCTTGTGATTCACATGAGTTATTAAAATCCTAGCAAACATTTTCTTCACAGTTCTTTCTTGACACTCTCCTGCATGCCAAAATCTTTGTCACATGTTTGAAAAGCCCAGGGCAGAGGAATATCCTGTTGTAGACATGCAGAAGGTAAATAAGATTGGGCTGGATGTGCTGCTTGTTTGTAAAGGGAGAATAGACAGGAATTTATTATTTTGGTCAGTCTCAGCAGCTCCATTTGATTTGTTTTCTTCCAAAATAGATTCCTGTGTAGTTCCTGTGCTGGGACATCCCTGTTCCCAGCTTTGTACCATGCCCTGTGTTGAATCTGTTCCCAAACTGCTGCTTGGAGGCCAGTAGGACAGTAGAGACAATTCATGCTGCAACTAACACTGTTTATATTCAGAGCTAATTAAAGCTTCAAAGAAAAGGARCAGCATTCTTGTAATGTAGGGTATCTGGGATTTTCAGTACATGCTTTGGTAAAACTCTGGAAGACATAAGCTGACTTTATAAWGTCTATAAAAAATAAGCAGGAAAACATAGAAAAGCATTAAAACTCTATACTGTTATCAAAAGTAGCTGGTTTGATGGCAGTGGCACTTGGATCCAAGTTCTAGACTCGGTAATGGGTGTTTGCAGAATGAACTTCTTAAGCTGTGGAAGAGTAGGTATTATATTGTATCACTAGGAAAGTTGTAGGTAGTAATTTAACGTGATTTCATATGCAAAGTTGAAACTTTTTTATTTTAATTTCTTGATGCCTGCATTTTTTGACATCAGTAGATGAACTAGTGCAACATGCTAATCCCGGCAGTTTCCTTAGAGCTTTAACAAAAGAAAGGGGCTGGGAAAGAGAAAAATACACAATCATTCATAAAGCTTTAAAACTGTGTTACCTTGCAAAAAGCTGTGTATTTCCATATCCTAGACCATTTGGCTGTCATTTCTCTCTTTCACAGATGGTGCATAACTCCTGGTTGGAGTGTGAGAATTCCTCCTTGCAGATGACTACTTTGATGTTCTGATAGTGTCAGCATTTTGCTCTGACATAGCAAGTAGTTAAATTACATTATACTTCATGGAACTTAATAAACACATATCCCATTGACTCCAAGTAGCTTTTTTAAAATTAATTGCATTTGAGAAGTAGGATTGCGTATGTAATACAAAATCATTCATTGCTGGAATGACAATACAGATTTATACAAGAAAACATTCAAATTTACTTGTCTCATATAGATTGGTTTTGTATATATTCTTTTATATTAGGAGCATATTCTATAAACTGTAGCTTGTTTTTTCATGTTAAGTYATAAACTAAACTTTTAAGACATTTTCTTTTAAAAAATAACAGCAGTGTTTTGTTGGATAGTTACGAACAAGTAGGATTTTTTGGCTTTTTTTGTTTGGTTTTTTTCTTGTTTCATCAATTCATTTTTGAAAAATAGAATACTTGTTACAGTTGCATATATCATTAGCTATTGATATATTACYTACTTCATCACAATAGCTGTATTTAGTTTTGGAAGAAGTTCAAGTGTATTTAAGGCTTCCCAAAGTCTTCACTGTATTTTGTCTCCAGATGATAGACCCCCATGCATAAATACATTTGTTTATCTGAGTGATAAAAGGCTCCTGATAAAAGGGTCCTCTCCCCATGCTCARAGGAGCACAGGGGAACAGTGAAAGGCAAGGGAACCTGAATAACCTAACAGAGAAATGCTCTGAAACTCCCCTACCCAGCTTCTCCCAGAGCTATCACAGTAGTGTGATCAGTCCACGGGGTGGGAATGGAACCCATTAAGTTAAATCAGTGGA